TCACCTCATATCACATCACATTGCATCACATCTGTTCATCCCTCCGCTTATGCTCTCTCCAGAGAAGCTGAAAAAGCAGAGTTCAGGAAGTTGAGATGCTAAGAGAGAATCCATTCTGACCATATTCATCCTGTATTCGACTAATTAGCTCAATGCAAAAATTAAGAGTAAAGCCACTTTATGCGACTTTTGAAAAGTTCATCAAAGTTAGTTGTTTGATGGGATTTTTCATTAAAAAAATCCCATTTTTATTTTGTTATGTTTTTATAGTCCTATTTTTAAATATGTATACACACAGCAACAAACAGTTGGTAAAAAAATTCTAAAAGTACAGAAGGGTACAGAATAAAACATAAACCACTTGAATTTAAAAAAATTAAACCTATTACTAAATTTCCTTAAATGGTCAAGTCAGTTTAAGTGTTTATATCACATTATGGTAAAGCTGGGTTAAAATAATTATAGTATTTATAATGACTTAGAAGAACCCATTCAAAAAAATGTTTCTTAACTAATAATAAAAAATATGTAATTTTCCCCTCTGTTTATTGAGATGTTATTGACATGTATTATAACATATGTCACTTTAAATTATACAGTGTGATGATTTGATACATGCATGTATTGCGACATGCTTACCACAATAAGGCTAGTTAAGATTTCCATTAGAAGGGATTTCTATATACATTTTCACCAGTTGACTAGGCAAAATTTAGAAAGAGTAATAGTATCCAGAGTTGGTGAGGATGAAGGAAATTGCTGTTGGAGGGAGTGTACATTTCTGAAAAGCATTTGATGATGTTTCAATTTTAGATGTTCTTAACCATTATCTCAGAAATTCCACTTCTAGGGAATTTGGCTATAGAAACACTCATACAGGTACACAGAACTATCTGTGCAGGACTGTGCAGTGAAACAGCGATTGTAATGGGAAAATATTGTAAATGACCCAACTGCTAATCAGTGTAGGGTTAAGTGAGTAAATAGTGGAATAATTTATAACAGAATTTTCTGGAGCTGTTAAGTAGACTAAAGTAAGCTGTACATAATTGCATGGAAAGACCGCTAAGACATGTTGAGTAAGGAAAGCAAGCTGAAAACTAGTATGTGTAGAATGATCTCATCTCAGTAAAAATACATATGTAGAGAATGAATAAGTGTTAGTATCAGCATAGAAAAAATTCTGTCAGAACAGACACCAACTTGTATATCATTGGAGAGATCATCTCCATGGACATTTCTACAATGTTTGAATTTTGCAAGTCTAAAAATACCTGCAATTATTTTTCTATAGAGACTCTCTACTTCTAAGTCACTCAACTCACTCCACTTAATTTTTTTTCTGGCATTATAGCATGTGTAATGTTATATTCCAGGAAACGTACATTAAAAATCATAGTAGGCCTAGGGCTTGAGAGCAGTTTTTTCTTACTTTTATGGTTTCCTATATAATTAGCAATATTAGGAGGATCAGCAGTATCCAAGATAAATGATTATTTACCAACGAGGACCCATAAAAGGAAAACTGAAATAAATTACCTGCTGAATTGTGTTGATGATAGTGAATAAGCTTTGGAATGGAATCAAAACAGTAGTTTTCTGCCAGGTACAATCTGTTCTCAGCATTTGTGTGCACATGGTAATGTTTGACGGTTCCTTTTTTATCGCTAGTAAAGAAGAAAGAACGTTAGAACGTTTTTAATAAACAACGGACGCTTGATTAAACCATAGTTAAATAATTAGGTGCATTTGCAAATTTGGGAGAGGGAAGTGAGGGAAGGTTGCTCAGTCTCGATATCGGGTGTTTTTCTGGAGGTATCCATGACAACCTGTAAATATGGAAGAGGGCTCCTCTCTGGACTCAACCTATCTTTTTGTGCACATACAGAATTCATGTGCAATAAAATTCCAACTTTCTAGACTGTTCCACCCTTAAAAAGTATAAAGCTGGCATCTTCCTTTGATGATTGAGGTCCCCGCAGTTCTTCAGAATCATTATTCTGAACGTCAATTCCCTTTTAGGATAGTAGTAAGGATTAAAATGTGGGAGGCAAGGGTGATTAGGCTGGGGGTGCTTTCAACCAGAGAATGGGTGGGAGCCTCTTTGGGGAATGGAGCAGGCAGGATGGGGTGGGTGGGGATGTCGTTTATTTCCTCCTGTGAACTTGTACTTTTTCCACATAAAGCATTTCCTTTCTTTCGCTCTACGTTTAGAAAATTGTGGTGAATTGATGCAAATTGATTTAGGCTAATGAAGAATAATACGCCTGATTAGATGATTAGAAGGAATAGAAGAGCTAACAACCAATGGGAAAGTAGCTTGTAAAACTCTGGTGGGGAGTGCTGATGTTGGTAATGGTGACTTATGTTAGATGCCTGGGGGGGGGGAGTCTTATATGCTTAAGTGTTGGGGTGGGGGCAGTGGAGCAGGGAGAATTACTCTTTAATAACAACAACAATAACAGTAATTGCTATTAGTTTATTAAGTGACTACTATGTGCCAGGCACTGTTCTGATCCAATACACGAATTATCTCACTTCATCCATAGAACATAATAATCATTATTATGTCCCCTTTTCAGATGAGAAAGTCGAGGTACAAAGGTTAAGAAACTTGTTCAATGTCATAAAGCTTTGTAAATGGTACAGTCAGGATTTGGGCCCAGAGGGGTGGCTTCAAATCAGAGCTCTTAACCACACACAGAGGACAGCACCCTCGAAAGAAGCTCTTGAGGGAACACAACTACGCTGATTCAACCTTCTGCTAACTCTGCCCTCACTGGAAAAACACTAGGGTAGGTTTCTCAACTCAGCAGGTGGCTAGGGCCACAGGGGTAGAGGCACCAATGCTATTTCTCTCTTCTAGGCTTAGGATTGAATCAAGGGGAATAACCCAGGATTCCTTTTACAAATGTTTACTGAGGCCTGCTGTGCACTGGGCACTCCACCGCTGCCTGGGAAGGGCAGGAGAGGATCACCGAGAACAACCTCTTGGAAGTAGGAAAAAAGGCCACCACAAATGGTTGCATTCAACAGAAATATTTTGATCCAAACTCCCAGAATGGAAAGATGGTGTCTTCTCCCAAAATGTGACTAAACTACCAGCACATTCAAAGAATACACAAGAAGATATAAGAAATGAATTCATTTCATACTTACTTCACAGCCTTACTAAATAAGGACACTGTGTACATTCCCACCTGGCTGGAATTTCTAACCATAAATGCTCCTTCCTTTCCCTGAAAAGGAAGGAAAATGTGAAAAGAACAGAGAACATTTTCATTATCCTGGGAAACTATTTTTCCTAGTGAGTAGGAGGAAAATAGATATTTTAAGTTCACTTTAAATCTCATCGATGGCACAGATTATCCAACAGTTGTCACAGAAGGGTACCCACAGTTTAGCTTTCTTTCTTTTCTCAGTTTCTTTATAGATCTACCCTGTGTGCTTCAACTTTTTCTTTCCAGTTAATTTTTAACCCGCTCTGTAATTTTCCCTTTTGTCTTTGTGTGAGCTTAATGTTTTAATCTTTCTGAAATACAATTTAAAACCACGTATCATCATATCATGCTCTTGGAAAATTTTAGAAAACCAAAGATGCACAACAGATCATTTGTTAAAGTTCTATGCTCAACTTGTCCTTCTTAATATCTTGTACTAATTCTAAGCAGATCCAGGTTCAGAAAGAGCATATAAAAAACTATGAACTTGAGAAAAATGCCAAGTTAGGTAGTCAAGTCATCACATGCTCACTAGTACCCCTCAAAGAGATAATTGGTGTGTTTTATTAGATTGAAATATATCAGAGTGTCATTTTGTAGGTCAAAAGAGTTTGCTTTTGGTAATTCCATACCAATTGATAACAATAATATCATGTAGATTTATTCCCTATTATGTACATCTGCTTTATTCTGGTTTAGAATAAATGCTAGTTTATTTAGAATAAGTGCTAATGAGGAATGACACAGCTGAGGTAGACTGTTTACATAGATGGCCCCAATAAATCAGCTCTGTATGCATGCCCTGTGTAGGCCCCTCCTACATTGACTCTGTGCTGGGCCATTTGACTTGCTTTGGCCAATGGGACACTAGCAAACATGACTAAAGCAGAGACTCCATAAGTGCTTGTACTGAACTGTGGGGCTCATCCCCTTCAAACACTGCCTTGAGATCACCATGCTGTGAGAAAGCCCAAGACAGCCACATGGGGAAGAAGTAGGGCACCCCGGTTGACTGCCTCAGCTAAATCCACCCCCCCCCACAGTGACTGCATCCACCAGCTAAATGCAGACTCATGAGTGGCCATAAGCACAACATGCAGAAGAACTGCTGGGCCAGCTGACTCAGAATTGTGAGAAATCATAATCTTCTTGGTTCAAGCCACTAAATTTTAAAGTGGTTGATTACACAGCAATAGATAATGGAAACAGAGGAAGTGGTTATGTGTGAAGGGCTTGGTAACCCAAAGCTGGACAACCAACATTATAATGATGTGACTGTATAATTAGCAATAAGGTTTTTCTCAGAAGTGCATGACCCTCTGGGCCCAACAGCAGAAAGAGATCCTTAGAGGCTATTTTAGACTCAAATATTTACCTTTTGTCTCAGTAACTGCTCAGATTGTGACCTGGAGATGTTACCTGCAAACCAGCTGCAATAGAAAAGAATTGCATATCTGAGAGTTAATCATTTTTATCTGCATAACTTGTCACTTAGTTTTCTAAACTGGAAAAGGAGACATTGGCTTAGATCAGGGGCTTCCTAACTTGGCTGTTCCAGAGAATCACCTGAGGAGCTTTTCCAAAATACAGATTCCTAGGGCCGGCTGAATGGCTCAGTTAAGAGCTCGCTCAAGAGTGTAAGCTCTGAGCAACAGCGGTTCGAGTCCCGGCCCGAGCTGAGCTGCCGCTGAGCTGCCAACAGGTGGCAGGATGGCTCAGCTAAAATAAATAAATAAACATGATACAGATTCCTGAGTCTCTGCCACCCAATTATAATTCTGGGGTGGGCCTGCAGATCTGTATTTTTATATGGGCTGGCATTTAGGAACCTTTGGCCTCCTTCTAGGTGATCTCTAAAGTCTACCTTTCACTGTTTTGCCTAAAAGCCAGAGATTAGACCAATGAAGAATATCCCAGCGAGAAAGTTGGGGTTGCCAAGGATGCAAGTTTCTGTCTTTCAACCCTATAGTTTTCTTTTAATAATCCAATAGAAGTACACTTTACAGCATCTATTTTGAAAGCAAATGCTTTTCCAAAAAATATTTTTTATTTGCAGGATAGCAACAGATAAGCGTCTACAGGTATATGAACATGGGAATAGTTGCAGTGAACTGAGAAAAAGAAGATGGCAACAGCCAGGTGTAATTTTTAAATATTGCCCTTCTTGTTATGTTAGCCAAGAACATCAGAACATCACGGTTTACTTTATATGTGAACCGCAACAGGCCACAGAGTTGTTTCTTAAGTGACATCAACAACATCTGTAGCCTTTTGGTTTTGGCCAAAATGTCACACGTAAGAAACTAACAGGGTGGGAGCTGGGATGGGGCATGGGTTTGGGGGCTTGGGAGGATCTTCTGGCTAGAAGATAACACCTGAGGAGGAAAGAAGTCCATAAGGAGGGTGAGGGTATCAGTTGGTGGGCAGTTCAATGGAGTGGAAAGAGCCTCAGATGTGCCAGCTTGGAGTTTTGGGTTGTAGACATAACTTCCTAATAAATAGTTTTATGGCTTTGGACAAGCCACTTAGTGTCTTTAGACCTTGGAATTCTGCACTTGTAAAATTAGGATGAGGCTTGACCTTGATATGTCTTCTAACTCTACCCTTGTAGATAATATATAATTAACACTGAGACATTAACTGATCTTATTAATATTTTAAGCTAATCATAGCTAATTCAAAGACTCTTCAGGCAATATGATGCAGGATATATGCCTATGGGAGACAGAAGCAAGAGATGATCAGGAATAAGTAGAGAGGCAAGGTGAGAGTGTGTGTAAGCTCCCCCGCCACACACACACACACACACACACACACACACACACTCACTTTGTGTCATAATTTTGCTGAATCTGGCTGTTTTTTTAAACTATTTCAGCATTTCAATGTCAGAGCAGCGCTTAGGCCTAGACCTATCGCATCATTTTCAATCTAAACCTCAGTCTTTAAGGCAATGGAATAGAATTGCTCATGAACTTATGGCCATAAACACATGCTTCAGTGACACTGATGGGGCACCAAGCATGGTGTGCAAAGGCTGAGCCCCAGATCACATAGCCCTCTGGTCCTGATCTCTTGGATTTTAAGAGGGCAGGTCATTCCTGGTCACTTCCCTCAATGCACACCTCTCACACACCAATTGAATCTAGAAACGATGGAGACACAGGCTGTCTGCATGGTCAGATGTGGGCTTTCTGAATCAAAGAAAGATTTGCAATTCATCTACATGATAAATACTAAAATCCATGATTGGAAGTTCACTCCCGTTGCTTTAAGTCTTTGTCTTCTGTTGAAGTGCAATTCTCTCTGGCTAATTTTGGTGCTGGTCTGAGCCTTTTATGTCATAGTTTGAATTATTCCATCAGATGCTTTCCTGAGAGCAGATGTTGGGGAAGAAGGTAGGACTAAAGGGAAGCTAGAGGGTGGTGAAGAGGCCAGGCTGTGAAGGGGTGGAGGGTACAGCAGGTCTGACCCAATGTGACAGGTATGCCGACGGCCAGGTTGGGTTAGAACGAAGAGGAAGAGTGCAAACAGAGACACATACTTTATAAAAGCTCTCACTGCACTTAGGGCCAATTAATTAATAACATAGTGCTCATACAATGGAAGAACTAGCAATATGCATAGTCCTAGTGTTCAAGTGAATTGGTTGCTATTGGGGAGCAGGTGTCTGAGGGGTGCAGTATGCCCTATTACTCCCACCTCGCCTTAACACCAGTCTTTAAGTCCAGGAGACTTATTTGTCCTTATTTGTAGGATGATAGAATCTTAGATGTTGGCAAGGACCTTAACAGACACTTAGACCAGCCTGTCTCCATATAATTGGGATGAGCATGCATTCTTATTTGGCTAGAAGAATCCACTTAATGCCTGATGTCCAGGTGTAATATTTAATAGCACACTCTCTCTGTCAATAGTATGCTCTCTCTGTCCTAATTTGGATGTCAAATGATAAGGTCACCCTAGGAATAGGAATCTCTCAACATAAATGCGGTCATGTTTAAGTCTCAGTTGTGCTACTTGTAAAATTACTGTTTCACAAATAACTTCAAAAATTGGACTCAATGCTAATAAGAGCCTTCAGCCATCACCCTGGAGGGAGGCCTGTAGGAAAGAAATAATCAGCAGAAATGTTATATGCTGTATCTATGAAGACAAAGTGAAATGACGGGGACACCAGGTATATGATAAATCTAATGAATATGCACAACCAATTTAGATAATCCAGATGGGGGAAAATATTTTCATTAGTAACAACCCAGCTCATTGTCACCCATCATCCAGATAAATGGCCCAGGACCTCACATAAGTTTACCCATGTAAGATAGCTTCCTGAGCAAATGTGAGCCATCTGTTTTAATGCCTTTTGGGGAAGAATAGGATTGAAACATCTATATCTAGTTTTAGAGGAACACAGAGGACTTTCAAAACCCACTCATAGTCATCCAGGTTTTCCTCTTCTTCAGATGAACTTGACTCAGGGAATCCCCTGAAGAAGAAAAGAGACAACATGAATACAAAAACCACCAAGAAATAATCCAAGTACCTAGCAGTGTGATATCAAATCCCACCCTGCTTTTCATCCATGTAAATAAAATTTAGCTGTTAGGTTTCCCTTTTTGCACTTGGGAAGGTATCAGCAAAGTGAAGGGAGAGTCGCTCAAAAGTTGAGTTCATGTCCGGTTTTATAAGAAAATGGCTGTTTGGTATAAGTCCCTATGAAGTCTCCAGGAACATGGATTTCTTTGAGTCTCTCAGAAGAGTGGCTCATGAAATTGATGAACATGGCTCCTTCAGGGAGAGCTATAGTGTACTGTAAAAAAAAATCTCGGGTTGTGTAGAGAGCTATTCTTAGAGAAGAGTTACTCGACTTGAGGTTGTTTTTCCTCCTGCTAGAGGTGCCCGAGCCAGGTACGTGAATGTTCATGCTAACACCAGTGTGCATCGTGAAGGGTGGAGAGCAAAAGTTAGTGTTAGGAAAATGGCAACCCATAAATCATCGATTCAGACCAACTTAAGGGTTCAGTGAGGCAAACTACATGGATTTGGGACACTTAGATTTACTTTCAGTGTAAAGTCTAGTTGCAGAATTATTGCAAATTTGGTTAGTTTTACTGCAAATGGAGCAAATCCTAGGCATGAAGGACTATCTGAATTTGACATACCATGATATCTTTGAGGTGTTGTGAGTCACAACATTTCCTTCTGTCTGGCTACTGCAGGTGAAATCTTCACTGCTACAAAAAAAAGGTCATAAATTTGTTTATTTATAAATGCTAAATGACAAAAGTAATTTTGTTAGATATGTTTTAGCTTTATTCAACATTTTGACCTATACGTTTCTCTTGGTTTGGAAATTTAATGAGTCATTTTCACATTTTCATCCTTGCAGGGACTCCACTAAAAAGCAGTAGTTAGACTTTATTCCTAAATAAAAGTGAATTGTTACTAATGGCTCATAATAACCTCAAACAGTAGAAAACTTAGGTTAATAGATCATCTTGACTGGGTTTGCCCTGATTTTCTTGTAGATATGCAAGCATTCTGCCACATATATTTTACAATAAGTTATTTTCTTTTTTGCTGTGGTGATTACAATGAAGTCTTGAAAATACTGAATTTTCAACTCCATGTAGACACAGATGGATAGGCTGGATTTTCATCACTCTCTGCCACTCACCATTTTCTCTCTTTCATTTTGGGTGGAGCAGAGCATGAGGAAGTACCTCTCTCTCCAAGTTCAAAGTTTGTTTTATTTGGAATGTTGGACCTATTTCCTGTTTGCCTTCATATCGCAGGCTCTTATTCAAAAACCACACTTCATAGTGACAAGCTTCCTTAACAAGGAAATGCCTCTCTGGCTCCATTTCCAGGGGTGCCTCGTCTCTGCCTTCCCAAAGAGCCTTGCCCACTAGCATAGCTTTTTTACTTCATATCTTCAGAAGAAAACTCTTATTTAAAAATGCTAAGTAATTTAGCTTTTTGTTTTGTTGTTTTTTTAGAACACATGGAGAATGGCCATCAATAGTGCCTCTCTTAGATTTATCCAAGTAATGGACTACTATATCAACATTCAAAATAGTCAGGTAGATTGCACAGCAACATGAAGGTATTTAACATGACTGAACTGTATACTTAAAAATGACTAGGATGGTAAGTTTTATGTTATGTCTTACCACAATTGAAACATTTTAAAATTTGTAAGTAAGTCTGTCCTCATGTATGCAAATGGGGAAAATGTCCAAGATGTTAAATGAGAAGAACAAGTGCCAAAGAAGAGTGATTTTTAAATTCTCTCTTTGCATAACATGTGCATAGAAAACATTTTTAGAGGAATGTACACTGCAGATTCTGCAACATTTGAATGCTTTAATGGGAGCATGGATTATTTTACTAAGAAAAAAACCACAAAGATTAAAAAGCAGCTCAGGTGAAGGTAGTATAAATGGCAAAGTTGTTAAAAAGTGATATCTACTGATATGAGCTGAGAATCACGGCTGCATTTTTAACATTCAAGCTCCAGGAAGGCCTTTCAGCAATTCTCATAATTCACTCACAGATGATGTAATGCACTCACACTAAGAGGTCTGAATTGATCCCTTGTCCAGATAACTAGCTTTCTGAAATTCTAGGGAAAAATCCAGGGTCGGGGCTAAATGTTGGGTGCACAGTCTAAGGGGGTGTAAAAAAACTCAGTACTCAAGATAGTGTTTTACTATTTAAAAAATAAAAATCAATGCAAAAATCCATGGGGAACAAAATAGCTACATTCTAAATAAAGATAGGACCTGGCAATCTGTGAGTTGGTAGCTCTGCAGCAAACCCATGTGAATAAATAGTGCTGACTACTTATTTGAATATTGGTCTGTTAGTTTGTACCTCTCTCAATGAATTACTGGGGCTTCTGGCAGGGCGGGGACCTTGCACAGAATTGACCTGACATCTACCCTCCTTGGATCTGGGCTTATCGATTGTCTCCTTCCACAAGAACACTGGCTGCAGGCAAATGTACCCCACCCCCCCAGGCACCAGCTGTAGATGAATACACTTGAATTCGAGCTCCACTTTGCAATGAAATGTACCGTGGTTTGCTTTACAGAAGACAAGCAGCAAGAATACACTTACGTCCTTTCAAGTTCCATATGGCCCTGAGGCTGTATTACTGGTACAGTGAAGCATTTCCTTTAGGTAATAATGAGGATGGAAAGAATAAAACAATAAGAGGGCAAGGGAGAAACAAAAAAAATTGATACATAGTGAGCCAGGGAGGTGCTCTGTATTCATTGTGGGGAAAGACAGACATCTGTACCCTGGAAGTGTGGGCCCACTTGGTGCCAGACCCCAGATATTTACACAATTTATGTACTGCCTTCAAGATCGTTTCAATTTTGGCTTTAGGTAGCATATTTTGGCTCAAAAACCTGAGGAGACTAATCACGTCAGGAGAGGCCAAGGTATACTTGTATGTCCTGAGGAGCCAAGCCACTTCTTGCTTGAAATACTGCTCGTCATTTGGCCAGTGATGCCAAAGCATATTACAAAAGTCCACTCAAAGGTCTCTCATATAAAAGGTATATTTTAAAGATTCAGAGTTCTGGAATGTGGCGTTTTTGAGGGAATGAGGAGAGAAAGGAGGGAATGAAATGCTCAAGCATTACTTGGATCATTAGGTTGGATAGTCTAAATGGAAACACCATGCTGCTCAGTCCCAGTGGGGCCACTGGCTCAAGCGCTGCAAATTTTCTGAGGGGACAGCCCTGCCTCAGCTAAGGTCTGTGTGGGTAGCTTTGACGCTGAGGCCCAAGGCAGTGAGAGAATGTCTATTCTACATGCTGGGCAGCAAGACTGAAAGCTGAGGTTTACCTTTTCAGTTTTCTTACTTGCCACCAGTCAGGGCAGTCTTCTCTTGGAATATACGGCATATTGACGTTTGGCTGGAAGCCATAGTTTTTCTTTGAATCACTGTCATACTGGGCTAGAGTGGTACTTGAAGATGGTTCCTCCATTTTGAAAATAGGAATTGCTCGAGGAATCTTGGGCTTTGGAGGATAAGAGATTTTAAAATATCACAGTGAGGCACAGATTAATGTACTGATAACTAACAACCAAAGTGTATCAGCCCTTAAATTAAAAAGAAGGGGAGGGAGGGAGGGAAAAAGACAGAAAGAGGGAGAGAGAGAGAGAGAGAGAGAGAGAGAGAGAGAGAGAGAGAAAGAGAGAGAGAGAGACAGAGAGACAGAGAGAGACAGAGAGAGGGAGAGGGAGAGGGAGAGGGAGAGGGAGAAGGAGAGGGAGAGGGAGAGGGAGCGCAATACTAAACATTGTAAAAATATAGAGCAACTGGAACTCTCGTAGTTTGCTGGTTGGAGTATGAAGTGGTATAACCATACTGAAAAGCTGTTTACAGAACCTACTAAGGCTGAAAGTGCCAGTACCCTAGAAAGTCTATATACATACCCAACCCTGAACTAAAAAGACATGTAAAAGAATGTTCATAGCAGAATTATTTCAATTAGATGAAAACTGGAAACTAAGTGCCCATTAAAAGGATAAAATAGTAAACATACTGTAGTTGTAGTAGGCTAAATAATGTCCCTGCATAGATGTTCATGTCCTAGTCCCTGGAACCCATGAGGATATCACCTTACACAGTAAGAGGGACTGTACTGATGTGATTAGGTATCCTGTGACGGGAAGTTTACCTTGGATTATTGGGGTAGGCCCAGGATAAAAAATGCCCTTATAAAAGGGAGACAAGAAGGTCAGAGATTAGGGAGATGTGAGAATAGAAGCAGAGATCACAGAGGAAAGAAGATGCTACCCTACTGGCCCTGAAGATGGGGGAATGGGCCAGGAACCAAAGGGGTATAGGTGGCCGCTGGAACCTGGAAAAGGAAAGGAAATAGATTTTCCCCTAAAGCCTCCAAAAGGAACATAGCAATGTGGACCCATTTTAGATTTCTGATCTTCAGAACTGTAAGAGAATACACTTGTGTTGCTTTAAGTCACTAAATCTGTGGTAATTTGTTACAGCAGAAATAAGAAGCTAATACAAAGGTATATTCAGACAATGGAATTCTATACAGCAATGAGAACAAACTACAACCACATACTAAAAAATGGGCAAATCCCATAAATTGAACAAAAGAAGACAGAAAATAAATGACTACATACTTTATGATTCCACTTATATAAAGGTCAAAACCAGGGAAATAATCTATGCTGCTATAAATCAAGGTAGTGATTACCCTGGGTGGGATGTAGTAAGGAAAAGGAAACATGAGGGCATCCCTGGGGCCCTGTGATGTTCTGTTTCTTAATCAGAGTGTGGGTTATAGAGATGTGCTCAGTTTATGAAAATTCATCAAGCGGAACACTTAGGACTTGTATACTTTTCTAAGTGTATGTTATACTTCAATTAAAAGCTCACATAAACTATACATATATATATATATATATATATATATATATATATATATATATAATAAGCACTGAATTTAATTTTTTCACACTGTATTTTACTTTTGTCCAGGGGTTAGCATCCTGGACATTTTAGTTATGCAGTATACTGCTACTTATGAGCTATGGGGTGGTTCTCTCCAAAGATAAACGCAGTAGAAAGTTCCCTAATTGGAAATCTGAACGGAACAACTAGAAAGCAGATTTTTATTTTCCTCAGCTCAGTAAAGTAAGTTCTCTACCAAATGCTCTGGTAAAAACAAGACAAAGGAAAACTTACTTTTCCAGATACCCTCTCTGATCCCTGATCCCTGAGGGCAGCTTATAATCAAAACAGACCTTGGCCACTGATTTACCTGACTGACAATTTTCTACTCGTACACATTTCCCTAAGAATTCCGTGCCAGAGACTAGATGCAATGGTTTCCAGCTCCAAAATTATCATCTGCTCTTAGATTTAAAACAAACTTTATTGGACTATAATTTATGTATCATAAAATTCACCCTTTATAAGTATAGAATTCAGTGACTTAGTAAATTGATTTGGCTAGTTGTCACCATAATTTAGTCTGAATAGGTATGTTTCTATCACCCCTCTAAGATCCCTCGTGCCCATTTTTAGCCAGTTCCCATCCCCATGCTTGCCTCAGTCAACCACTAATTGACCTTTGCCCTTATAGATTTGCCTAGTCTGGACACTGCTCTTAGGTGTTTCACAGGACCATAATTTTCAAGCTTCAGGACTCGACCATATATCCAAATCAAAACAGCAATATCGCTGATAACAAAATAAAACCCTAAACCTTAATAATTGTATTAGTTACCTAGGGTTGCCATAACAAATTAGTACACCTGTGGATTACAACAACAGAAATTTATTCTCTCACAGTTCTGGAGGCCAGAAGTCCAAAACCAAGGCTTCAGCATGGCCATACTCCCTTTCAAAGCTCAAGGAGAGAAGTTTTGCTGGCCTCTTCCAGCTTCTGGTAGCTCTGGGCATTCTTTGGCTTATGGTGGCATGACTCTAATCGCTGCCTAGGTCTTTAAATGGCCTTCTTCTCTGTGTGTCTCTGTGACCTGTCATCTTGTTGTGAGGATGCCAGTTGTCGGATTTGTGACCCATGCTAATCCAGTATGATCTCATCTCAGCCTTTAGGTCATCACATCTGCAAAGACCCTGTTTCCAAATAAGATCACATTCTGAGGTTCTGGATGAATGTGAAATTTGGGGGACACAATTCAACCTATAATAAGAATAGATTTCTTTTTGTCCTTCATGTTGGTTCACAAGAAATATATTGTACTTACTTCTATCTTTCTAGCTAAGTAAAAACGTGTAAATGTGTGTAGCTGAACATAACTACCCAAGATACCATAGAGCTGATGGATGGGTAGAGATACTCCCTTAATTTCAGGTGAGCGTCCAGAGAACCAATGGGAGGCCATTTTATGTGTCTCCTGGCACTTGAGGAGGCCGACACCTGCTTGGGAAGCCAAAGAGCAGGAGGCTATAGCTATGAACCCAAGAAAACAGGGCACAAGAGAGCAGCAGCCTGTACTGCAAGAGCAAGCCACATACAGTTTTACTAACCAAAGTCAAGGTTTTGTTTGTTTTCCTGTAGGCCAATCCAACCCTTGGGAGAGGGTTGGCTGGGAGCCATCTTGAAAGGAACGCTGCCCAAGATTGGTGAATTGACTCAGTAGTAAAGTTAAGGGCAATAAACTCAAGAGCTAAGGGTCAAGATGTTCCCTCTGTCATAAAGCTACATTTGGATGAGTACCCCAGTGGTAAACCCATGAAAGTCTCCCATAAGATAAAGAATCAGCATTGCAAAACTGTGTCACCCAGAAGCCACCACTACCAAATCATGATGGGACCAACCACGTATAACTCTCTCTCTTTTATTAGACCTGCTCTTTCTGGGCCCCCACCCGGAAAGGGTCAGAAATCTCAGCCTCTCCAGGACTCCTCCCCAAAAGCAGGCTGCCCTCTGTGCAGACTTGAATTAGGCGAAGGGGAAAAGTTGGGACTTGAAAAGATGTTTGGATTCGTGTGAATGTAACATTGGATGAGAAAATTTAGAGGCTGTTCTCATGACTACTAGTAATTGGGAAATTTTATGGCATCTGAGAGTGACTAGAAAACTATGGAATCTCCCTGAGATTCCATTCAGGGACAGAGAAGAAAACCCACCCAATAGCTTTGAAGGGATAATGAAGAGAAAGAATGATGTTGTTTTCTGCTAGTGCCCCATGGGGTCCCATTCCTCACCAGCATACTTATCTGAGGCAGTGTTGGCCATGCTGCTGGTGGTAGGTGAGAAATGACAGCTAGCAACAGCTGCCTGTTGTTATGATCAGCTGCCTGTTATGTTTGATGCCAGTTTAAGAACTTCTCCCACATGTCCTCATTTTTAGCACCTATTTATATGCTCACAGGTTAGAAAAAGGCCCAGTTATTAAATACAAAAATAGAAAATGGTATAATGGTTTTGTATTTGAATTGATTATTTGATAGTGCCATTGCTACTGGTGATAGCTCACAGTTTTTCTCTCTTTGCTGAGCATCTGAATGAAGCCTGTATTTTCTAGTCTTGAATCTTGCAATTCTTGGCTTATTTCGTATACCTTGACTATGAAAAATCTAAATGTTGACTTACCACTCTGTCTGGGAAGGTAGGAGCTCTATGTTTCTCTTCCTTGGTTGCAATGTGCAGATCAGCATCTGAAAAGTAAAATCAAGCAATATCAGAAGGAATGTGAAAACAAAGCGAAACATCCAATGTTAGGAATCAAAAGAACTAGCTTGTGTGAGCAATAGTCCAGGTTAAATGAATTCAGACACATCTGAAATGATTCTGCTGCTTTCCTGTGTAGCACCCAACTCAAACACCACTCCTCTGCCATTGATGATCAATATCCTCCCGAAACGGATAAAAAATTCAAGTTTCTGTATATCCTAAAAACTTAATTTATACCACATTTCCACCCTGTATTTGAGTAGCATATATCTAATCCATTGGGTAGTCCCTATGACCCTAGGATTCAGAATCCACATCTGATTCCTCTTTGATTGGCTCATACAAGATGCTTATAAATAGCTCATCTCTAAGGAACAAACCTATCCCATGGATTTTTTTCCTGTAGTATGATAATTTTTGGTTTCTCTTTCTACCCATATATGTAGATAGATGTCCAGGCTGTGAATGTGAAGCTATTATATGCCTTATAAGCTGGGTGGACATATGGTTTATTGACAAAACTGGAACATTTCTGACAGTGATAGGCAGGCTTTTAATAATTATGCCAGGTCACCAGCTGCAGAAGGAGACTGCCCCAAACAAACTGGGGTGTATGGTCAACTTGTAGGCTACCTACCCTGGCAAGAGGGTGGTCCAGGGCATTTTGAAGACAGAAGGAAGCAAAGACACTCAACTGTTTCCTTTCTGTGCCCATGGGCTTCCCTGTAGCTCAACAGAGGAGGCCAAAGGGGTAAGTTACACTTGGGCAGATAGACAATGTCACAGCTGCTAGTGAGCCATAACACTTCTACAGCCTGCAGTTTTCTTCAGAGGCTGGCAAAGAGCCTGTGGAACCTGGGACACATGGCAGGTGACATCCAGACAAATTCTAGGGAGATAATCCCAAGGCAGTGCTCTTTCTGGCCTTTTTCCTGCTCTTCTGGGAGTGAGGACAAGGTCAGAGCTGGAATCTGGCCTGCTGTGTAATGATGCTAGACCACAGACTGAATAACTGGGGGAAATGATTAATGCCGTCAGGAGAAATTACTTCTCAGCCCCTCACAGTGGACGGAAGGTCCACATACAGTAAATTCATATAGTTCATCAAATCATTATAATTCATGAATATACAGGGCAATATGATCTAATTAAGATGAAGAAATATTCATTGTGCAGTCTAATTGAGATGGGACACAATGAATATTCATTGATTTTGTTGTAAAATGACCAGCGGTAACATTAACATAATTGTCAATGCTGTTATGAAGTGAATTTGGCTAGTTCATGTCTCTGCGTGTTTTGCAGTTTATGAAGTGTTATCAGATAACTGATCTCATTCAGTTCTTTGATGTCAATGTAATATAAGCATATTTTTTTCCAGGCTGGTAAAACTGTTACCAAAATAAGTTCTCCTTTTTATTTCTTGATAACTTCATGTTGTTAAACAATGATAAACCTGTAAAATATATACGAGTGCCTCATGTAAGTATCCTGGTGAACAAATGGGGCACAAACAGAAAATAACATAATTCTGTCCCTTCATTATCCCTTCAAAGCCACTCAGTGGGCTTTCTTTTCTGTCCCTGGATAAAGTCTCAGGCAGATTTCCCTAGTAACATAACCCTGGATAGAATCTGGTTGCATTTAAAGCAAACCCTTTTCAGATGTTATTAAGAAATCAACAAATAGATACAGAATGGCAAACCATTTTAAATATTGGGTTGTCGGGAAAGTCATGACGCATTTTTGCAATGAAAAACATAGAAAAATACGTCATGACTTTCTTGACGACCCAATGTATCTTTCTAAATCTTGGCCATCCATGGTTTTGTTATATGTGGTGATTAAAAGTGTTATATATGGTGATAAAAAATTAAATTTTATCCTCTGACATATTTTTAAAAAGAATGCTGTTTTTGTCACTTTATGATTTTAGTTTGAGAACCACGGTGATATGTTCACCACATTTCACCTATTTGGAGTTTATCTTAAACCAGGAAGAATTATGAGAGGGAATAATCAGCTTCTTGCTTGATCATCATTCAAATTTAAATAATATTACTAATAAAGTAAAAGAATGGCAGATGTTAATATTATTATTTTAATAAAGATGGCTCATTTAGCCCTAGAAGTGGACTTCATTTGCCAGATAGCATCTTTGAGGCTGGAATTTCATGATGCTAATGAATGTGGCACATCTTGTTTTCCTGAACTGTCAAGTGGTTCTGGCATGTGGCAGATTGGCCTAATGAGGCACCGTCCACCCAGGGTCCCCCCAGTCCTGGGGTCACATTACATGCTTCCCAGAGAGTACATCCCGGGGCCGCTTTGCAACTCTGCTGGCAGCACAGGAACTTCCCGTCCACGAAGAACCCACTGTGGTACTTGATCAGCAGGTGGGGGTTGCCCCTTATCTCTGGGGAGCAGGCAGGAAGAAAACACAACATGAGCAAACATTGGCCCAAGAGAAGAAACATAGTCAGTAAGCGCTGTTATCACAAAACAATGAAAACCTCATTTTGCCAGCAACTAGGGTAAGAGTAAATGGTTCCCAAAGGATGTAAGTCTTTCACTCACAAGTTAAAAAGCCAAAAAGTAAAGTCTAATCATGTATATAGTGCGAATAACACAGTAACTTATGCCGGTCTTAAAAACAAACAAACCCCCCCAAAACTAGTAGAAAACTCATATACAGATGAGCTCAGAGTTAGGATTTAAGAACACATCCATAAAGGATGTTAGTGGGTGACAGCACATGGTATCCTCTTGTGGTAGAAAGAGGCTGGAGGGTAGGGCTAGATCTTAGCAAAAAGAAAAGAAGTTTCTAATAAACATATACATTCCTCCCATTTTGTATTTGGGAACATTTCAAATGTACAGAAAAGTTGCAAGAACAGTACAGTGAATGTCCACATACCCTTTACCCAGATTCACCAATTTTAAGTGTTTGCCACATTTGCTTTCTCTCTCTCTCTCTCAATGTACATACATACATATTATTATATACATATTTATCATTGTTGTATTTCAATTAACATTTGAGAGGAAGTTACAGATACGACCTAAATAATGTCACCCATAAATACTTCAGCATATAACTTTTGTTAACGGACATTCCCTTATATAACCATAATGCAATTATCAAATTCAGTAAATTTAACAGCTACAATACTCAATATATTTTCCATATGCATTTTTTTGTAATTGTTCCAATAGTATCCTTTATGATGATTCATCTTCTTCTGCTCTAGGACCCAGTCCAGAATGACACGTGGCATTTAATTATCTAGTTTCCCTTGATCTAGAAGAGTTTCTCATTCTTTGTCTTTCATGACTGACCTGTTTCCATTAAGGAATTAATGGTTTATGAACCTACTTTTCTAGGAATATGTGCATATTTAAAAACCCTGGGTAATAGGACAAAGCAATCCGAGACATGAAATTCTAATATTGGAGTGTAATACTGTGCCTGCAGCAAACTAGCCTCTCTCAAAACACAGCAGAGAGACCTACAAGGTCTTAGAGAATAGTTCAAGAACAGTCTCCAGGTGGGGAGGCCTGGGTCTATGGGTGACTTCAACTTTCCTTCTTGATTCTGTATTCAACTTGAGGATTCCTTATTTTGATCTCAGGAGAATTCTGCCCCTCCTTTACAACCCTGACTCGAGGAAGTGGATGGAGGTAATAGTAACTACACTACTTTGTTAGAAGGACATGGGAAAATGTATGGAAAGCATCTGGCACAGTGTTAGGCCCAGAGTTGGTGTTCAATGAACAGTGGGCTTTAGCATTCGCTTAGTTTAACTCAGCTCAGCTTACCTGAAAAGCCTGGCATTAAAAAAACTCAACTGTTAATGGGAATTGAAGGGAAATTATTACAGAAATCACAAAAAAACAAAAGGAGGTAAGTTTATAAAACATTAGTTTCTGACCTTAAGCTTTCCCAGAAGCCTAGCATTTATACTATATGGGGCAAAAGGTTGGATTTGGATAATTGAGTTATGAATCCTCCATTATTAGATATGTGACATTGGCCATGTCACTTGAACTCTCTTATATGAAAACATGGAGAATAGTATGATCCATTTCCATAGAGTTGTCAAGAGGGTACCCAAGAAAATGTTTTACAAGTACTTGACACAGTAGCTGGTAAATGATGTGCTTAGTAAGTATGAGGCAGAACTTTCTATAAACATCCAAAGTACAGTAGCTACAGAACCTGACACAGCCCTGTGAGGACCTAGACTTTGCCCTGGTAAAGGCGAGCACACTGGGTGGGGAGCAGGTGGCCTGGCTTCCGCCAACTTGCTGGGAAGGCACAATAGCCAGCTCTGTGCAGAGCAGGAAAGGGAATCTGATCCCCAGGCCTCCCCTATGTAACAATGAGAATGCAAAATGAGGATGCTCACGGCACAGTCTCTGAGGCTGGTAGGAAAATCAGTAGATTCTCTCTTGGCATTGGGCCCTTTTATGGTCATATCTTTCCTCCACTGAGTCTCAAAAGAACTCAACCAATGACTCCCTTTTGTGACTTTTTAAAATTACCTTTTTGTAATGCTTTCAGCCACTGACTTCGGCTCTCTTCATTCGATGCATAGACATAGAGAAGCCCATCTTTATAGACAATCTGGAAATGAAAAGATTTGGTGCATTTAGATAGAATGTATCATGGTACAACTGCAAATTTTCTGTTATCCAAAAGGAACCTTGAGTTTGCTTATATAACATCCATTAGCTCTAGAACTAATGGGAAAAAATCTAGCGATTTTTATTATTCACCTTGCAATTTGTTTTTATCCCAGACACCATTACACTTTGGAACATTATAGCAGGTGTTTCCCTAGATCTGGAGAATTAGAAAATTATAAAATGTTAGATATTACAGGTGTCTTAGGAGTGTTCTGGTCCATCCACCTTCCCAGGGCATGACTCTCTTTACAGCAGTTTATCTGTTCTATTCTTAAAAATATCTTCAGGGATGGAATGTTCTTTACTTTTCCTATGCCATCCTTGCCAATTTTCATATATTGTGATCATTGTGTAGCTCATGTGCATGTTGGGTAAAAATATGTCTCCCTGTTACTTATTCCCTTGGGTCATGTCCCAACCTAGGAATCCCCAGCATAAGTCATTTGCTATTCCTTAAGATACTGTTTAAATGTTTGAAGATTCCAATGTCTTCCCCAGATCCTCCCCTGGTTTACTCAACTTTTGTGGGTAAATGGTACAGACCATTTATTAAACACCTACTAGTGTCTGGGCTCTCTCCTACTTTATTATTTTAATCCTATTTCAACTCTATGAAAAATATATGATTATGCCCATTTTGCAAGTGAAGAAATAAACTCAGAGGTTGAGTATGTTGTCTGTGGTTACACAACTATAAGCACTGGCTAGGAGCTCTATGGGGCTCCAAAGCCTTTGTTCTTTTGAGTACCCCATGCTCCTGTGATACGAATTTGAAGCATCTTCCATGAGCACATGCTCCCCTGGTTTCTTCCAATTGGGCAATGTTCTCTTTTACAGTGGAAAGCATAGATGGTTCAGCAATCTGCTATTTTATTTTCACTTTTGGCCACAGTTCCCTCATACTAGCACTGAGAAGTCTGAACATCGAAAGGGCAGTCCACCTGCCTTTAGGTCAGAAAGGTAAGTAAGTATTCATGATATAATAAAAGTAGGGCATACCTTAGATCAAGCCAGTTCTCAAGGGTACCGTACGCACGCTCTCCATAGCATACCGTTTAAAACAAAGACTTCAGGGGAAAATGAAGACTCGTGGCATGCTGTGCAAAGCCCTTCATGATGTGGCCCCGCCCACCTTGCCAGGCTCATCTCTTTCACGGGGCTGCTTTATTCATACAGACTACTTGGAGCTCTCCAAACCTGCCATACTGTTTCACCGATCAGTGCCTTGATAGCTGCTGTTTCTTTGTTTCGCTGCCTTTCCTGTTGAACGCCACGTGTCATTCCCAACCCACCTCCAGTAGAAAATCTCCCTACCCTCTTGGAATGAGGAGTGAAGCTTCTGCTTCCTGGGGCGCCATAGCTACTCGGCTGACCTTGACCTTAACACTCACCCTCACTGCATTATAACGACCTGTAAAAGTGCTGGGGACAGGGATGGCATTTTATTCCTTACAGTGTGCCTAGCACCTGGTAGCCCATTGGAAATGCCAGATGTCTGATGAAAGAGATTGTCAGAGCCCAAGGCAAGTCAGGCCACTGCGGGCAACATGCTCACTCTTCTTCCTCTCCCTCTAGGAAAGGCAGATGGGTAGATAGAAGTTTAGCAAACTCCTCAACTCCCATCTGGAGATGTTCCAAGCCTTGCCATTGTCTTAATGAATCATTTCACAACATCTTTATTTATCCCAGATATATTGAGTTCATAATAGGAAATATTCAAAGAAGAGTCACCGTCCAATGGAAGGAATGTTGTCCCTCCCCTTACCTGAAACGGGTACTGTCTCTCCACGGGGGTCTGCTCCTCAAGACTGACTTTCTCCACACATCTGATTTTGTTAATGTCGATTGTTCCTTTTCTGCTGCCTCTTTTCTGAATTAAACAAAATATATGATGCCTCATGCGATACACAACGGTGCACAAAGAAAAGCATGAAGTTAAGGTTCTATGTGGAAGGGAGATTGGAAGATGGGATGCGCATGTGAGAATCATTCCAATTCATCCAGAATAGTCAAAATCCAGTGACAATAGAATATATTTTTTGGATGTGGACACAAACTCATATACTCCTCCAAAAGCAAGTCTTCAAGCAGCACTTAAAAATTTTGTTCGATAATCTTGAGACACATTTCAAATCACCTGCCATGTGGTTAATCTACTCAGGTACTCAGGAAAAATCAAGATTTAACTCCACAAAGCATCTCCATTTTTTTTCAATTTTATGACAGTATTTCTACTGTGATAGAATTCTCAACAGTGTAGAAATAGTTCTATATACAGCATAGAGTTAAGGCAGGGTTTCTCACCTTCAGCCCAATTTGGGGCCAGATAATTCTTTGCAGGGGACTGTCCTGTGCATTATAAAATGTTAAACAGCATCCCTGGCCTCTACCCACTAGAAGCCAGTAGCACACTACACCCCACCCCCCAAATTATGACAACCAAAAATGTCCCCAGCCATTGCCCAATGTCTCTTGGGGGGCAAAATCACCCTTAGTTGAGAACCACTGTTCTAATGTGGTTTACAATTTTCCTTAGTAAAGTTAACCAACATTTTAAAATCCTGTACCTTGAATTAATCATACCTTGGTTAAGAAAAGACAATGTGATAACTGAGTGCAAGTTGATCTTTATAAGCTAAGGAACCTGATATTGTTTCATTTTAATTAAGCATTTTGTGGAGCCTTAAAAAAATAAATAGTATAAAAACAATGGAATAAGTAGGGTCTCACCATTTTGTCATATTCGTAGTAAGAGAGGTTTGTTTTGGTCAAAACAAAAAGCCGCTCTTTGTAATTATTTGGCGACATTTTCTTCTTTTGCTGTGACCTTTTGAGAAGAAGCTCTTCTAGAATGGATTTTGTATCCATACTGTCGTCCTAAATAAAATAATTAAAATGAATGTTTGCAGCATCTAGCTAGGTCCTCTTTTACTTTCATAATTTTTATTCAACTACTTTTCATTGAGGGATAATATAAATACTATAATTCTTTAAAAGTTAGGCTTAGGATTATAGAGGAAAAGTAAGCAGGCTCTTAAATAGACACATAACTGCACATTTTTTCTCCTGCTTTGGCTTTGACTTTTATACAGGTGTTTATTTTTTACAGCATTATATGCATTTTACTCATCTGTCCTCTGGATCATAAATTCAGCATCTTAACAATACCCTCCAGACCACCTTATCAAAATTCTCCTTTATTCCTTAAGCATTCTATAGGCATTTGTTGAATTGAATTGGATATAATCAAACTTCTAAAAATTTCAACTCTAGACAGTTTACTGTGTCTGAAGTAATTGATCAGCTGAATTTCCTTCCATTAATGTGACCAGTTGTTTGACTAAAATATCCAAATCACTATGAGACTCTAATATCATTATAAATGACACCCAGAGCCCCTGAGCAAGATCAAATCTTTAACACAAAGAACATGGGTTTACTTTTCAATATTTCTGAGAATAAAACATTTGAAAATGATTAAGGAGAGATTTAAAAGAACTAAAAAAATGGTACTTTGTAAAGTAAAAACACTCTTTTCCTTCCCATGTAAAACATGAAAACTTAAAGTATTTCTGAAAAATGCATTAATTTTCTGGTTCTAACACTTGCTTCAACCCTCAGTCTGATATCAGGTTTGATAATGAAAAGTAGTCTTAAGCAATAAGCCACAAGCAGTATATTCTTTTCTTCGTGAAATCACATCACTATTAGCAGTCAGGTGCTCAATAATTACTATCTTTCTTTGCTTATTGATAATCTGAAGGTAATTAACTTTACTCACCTTACATTGGAGAGAGCCCAAAGTGTGCTTGTGGGTCCTTACCTTTAACTCTCAAGCTCTAAGCAAAAAGTTACTGCTCTGAGGCACACTCACTCATATTCCCTGTGGCTATGCCAGGGTCATGCATTAAAAAGAAGATATTTGCATCTATTTATCACTCTGGATCAGGAAGCACCCACATGGGCATTGCCCAGTCTGGATGGAGGCAGATGCCAAGGGAACCTGTCCAATCACTAACAGGCACGTCTCACTGGCCCAGAACCATGATGGGCCCATGATGGCAGAGGAGTGGAAAGAAAAGGAGACTAAGAAACACAGCTTAGCATTGAACGGACCACAGTCAGGCCCTGCCAGCTTCCCTCTTGACGTAGACCACACCACTCTAGAAATGGGAATCAAGAAAATCAGCTTTTATTATTTATTTACATAGATCAGAAGACAATCCCTCAAATGTTCTCCAAGGGCATCATTTATTTATAGGCAGAAGTAGTAGAAATCTTATCCATTAAATATGATAGAGTTTTTGGCCACTTTTTGCTTTGCGTATTGTTTTATCTAGGAAAAAAAGTACCGTATAATTCTTTCACGAAAGTATTGTAGAATGGGTTTCTTTTGAGCACAATGGGTGCTATTTACCATGGCCACTGGTTTTTTGCCCTGAACTCGGAGACCAGGCAGAGATCAGGGTGCAGTAAACCCAGCTGGACCTGGGAAGGCAGGTAGCAAACCTGCCTTTCACCTTTGCCTCCATTATAAAACCTACACACACGCCTGTTCAGATAAGATCATTTTCTACACCCAACATCTATGGCTGGAAGAGAATTTGCTTGGAGACTTATTGAACAAACTATGGAAGGTCTACTGTTTGTTCATTAAGGTCCCCTTTTGGGTGGAGTTGTAGGGCACTTTTGCCTTTTACATTTCTATGTTTAAAAAATTGATTAACAAAGCAAAAAGAGAAAACTGAAAGCTTGTCAAATATCTTTTATATCCACAGCTAATACATTACTTCTCAAAACAGAGTGCTAGTTAAATAGATCTGGTTAGTGGAATAAGTTTACTTTTCAAAAATTTTTCAAATGCTGAGTCAATTTGTAACATTAAGAACACTGTTTTAAAAATGCAAACCCCAGTGTTCAATGTAATACACAGCCTTTCCCAGTCCCGCGTGATGATACACACTTCTGTTTGTAGAACGTTCACATTCATCACATTAAAGTTTGTTTTGTGGGGCAATTTTACCTAAAAATATTAATGATGAGTCACAGAAAGCATCAACAAATGAAATTCACAAAGTTGCTTGGGTCTATTGAAGGGAAGAATATTGACTGGCAAGGAAGATAGGAACTCCACAAGCACATTCTCTAATGAATCTCCAAGCGTTCATACACATTGTTGTATCTGAAGCAGTATAATTTCTCAGAGTTCAACAAAATTGTTGATTAAAAAATCCTGCCCTTTGTGAATTTTTTGGCTTTTGGGGCTCATTTTTAGAATTGCATGTGATATACTTATTCTACAAAACCAAGAACTACAGACAAGCAAAAGGAAAAAAGAAAACCTTAACATTTGAGTGAATATACCTTTAGATTTTTTCAAATATATACATGCATGTGTTTATTTTCACAAACATGAGTTTGCATACTCTGCATATGGCTCTGTAATCTCTTGTTCTCACGTAACAAACATTCAGAGCCACGCGTCTTTGAAGTCCTTTAAAGTTCCACTCCCTAAGCTGGACTGTCATGCTTCTGAACCAATTTGAAGAACCCTGTTTAGATGATTCACGCTTTTGTCATCTTCAGATCAGTTTCTTCTAAGATGATACCTGGTTCCTGCTCAAGTTTGGACCTGCCTTTCTCCTTTTATTTGCTTCTGTCCCTTCCTTGTACTTCTGTCTTCTGCTAGACTAGGTATGATTCTAATTTCTATTAGAATCTAGTGTCTCCCTTGGCATAGGAGGTGATAGTCAGCAATGACTAAGTAGTACCACTGCTGACTCAAATGCCTGTCCCAAGACTCTCGACTCTGCTTACACTTATTTAAAACTCGACTCTGCTTACACTTATTTAAGGGACATTCAGTTGGAAAGGTAAAAAAAAAACCCAAACAAACAAAACTAACTTTCAAAATAAAATGAGATCCTAAAGCTAGTCAGTGTTAACCAGAATTCTATTTCCACAGAGGTGCTGGTGGGATTTGGCTGGAATCTCATATTATCACCTACATAGAATAGACACATCAATTTGCTTACCAAATAGCCAGCCTGCCTATTTCCATAAGCACATGAAACTAGAAAGAGATTAAAATACAGGGGAGGCAAAAAAAAAAACTGGCAGAAATCAATATAGTATTTTCTATAAGGAAGCCAGTATACACGCACCTATAGCATACATAAAGGATGCATGTTGAATTAACATGACTTGGAATCACTAGGGATACTTAGCATTTCTAAGGAAATGATATCGTGAGGGTAAGGAGTTCAACTCTGCAGTCTATTTAGCACACTTGAGTTTGAGTCTCCAGTGTGCCCTGAGTGACAACAAACAGGTACGAGAGCTGGGTTTCATAGTTAATTAATATGCAAGGTTGCTGTGGTGGTAGACTCAGAAGGCTTGGCGGAGGTGACAGGACTGTCATTTGTGAGCTGTGTCACCCTGACCAAGCCTTTGCCTACTTTACACTTCAGTTTTCTGACTTGAAGTCACGTAAAGTCAAGTGCCAGAGCAGAGTCTGTTGTTTTTGCTCCTAAGGGCCTGAGGAAGGAAAAACATGCTTTCTTAAGATAATCAAGAAAGATATTATGGAAGGGAGGGCATTAAAATTGGACCTTGAAGGATACAAATGATTGTACTAATAATCCTAGCTAACATTTAAGGAGAACTCGCCATGTGCCAGGCACTATTTAAAGCACCTTAAAAATATGCTTTTATTTACTGGTTGCAGCCACCCTATTGGGTAGGTTATGACACCCCCACTCTATGGGATAGGTTGTGACACCCTATCCTGTGGGGTACACAGCCACCCTGTGCGGCAGGCCGTAACACCCCCATCCTGTGGGGAAAGTTGTAACAAAGTCACCCTATAAGGCAGGTTGCAACCTCCTTCCCTGCTTAGAGCTGAGGAAGCTGTGATAGATAGTAAACTGTCCAGGACATACTGCTAGTGTGAGGGAGCTGGGGTTTGAATCTAGGCAGCCTAGCTCCACAGCCCACATTCTTGACCACGATGCTAATGTTAGAGAAGGACATGCTGCCAGCTGTGTAACCCTCCTAATCACAGAAGGCTCTAACCTAAATATACGAAGGCAGCTATAGGCTATCAAAGCTGGTAGGAATCCTACTGCATTTTATAGATGCACTAACTGAGCCCAGCAGCCCGAGCGACTTAGCTAGAACTGTAAAGCTGTGACCTGAGAGACACAGGCTAGGGAGCCAGATTTCTGGCGTCCTGCTTGGGGGCATTGTCCACACCATCATGGCAATAAGTAGACTAAAAGAGACCTATGTGTTCAGCTAATCACACTACAGCCTTGCTGAGGCATGCTGTCTGGTAGAACTAGGCATACATTTGAGTCTTACCAGACCCATGCAAACCACCTTTTATTGGAAATATCAGAAAGATGTGACTTATAAATAATCTTTCAGCAGGAACCTCCAAGGCAGTGTTAAATAGCAAAACTCTACACACATTTTGAAAATAAGTAAGAACATACAAATCAGAAGCTGGAATGCATTCTAAGTAAGTGGTGCAGAAGGTTGGGGCAGGAAAGGAAGGAAGAAAGGCATATATAGTTAAATGGGGTCATTGGCTATTCCCTTAACCAAAAATATGTTCCCTGACTGGCTCAGAATGATGCCTTTAAGGTTTTAGTCTTTAGAATTGAGAGATGGGCGTAACAACTCCTTATTCCTTCACTTGATTTAGTTATCCTCTCTTTCTTCACATGTCATTTAGCTAAAGGTTTTGATAGGTGTCAAGATATTGAAATAATCCATGTCGTGGGAGGGCAGTGGAGGGGGGAGAGGGGAAGGTACTCCAAGTGAGGGGCTCTGAAAGGGACAAACTTGGCCTGTGACAAATATTTGCTGAAGGCCAGGTCTGCTTATCTTCCTGCTAAGTAACTGAACAAAATATAATGGTAAAGTAAACAGGGACAAAAAGCGTAACTCAGAATCAGGTAAAGTGTCTCAGAAATATAACTCTTAAGATGCTAAAGACAAACACCAGCGCCACAGAACCTGTCCAATCCCTGTGTCACCTGTTATGCAGGAGAGAGAAAGTTACAAGTGCGTTGGCATGATATTGACATACATCCCTTAATGTCGACACTCAAATTCTCATTTTGAAACGCCATACCTTAATTGCTCCAAAATGGATTTATGAAAACCAGACATTTTGGGAAGGCCATTTTTGCATCAATGAGGCAAGAATTCGCAAGAATTCCAGTGCCACTCTTGTTGGAGCTAGACTTTGCTTTAGGTGTGAAGTTTATCTTCAGTACCCCACAGAGCTTTTCTAAGCCCTTCTTTTCAGCCACCTCTTTCCTTCTGCTCCCTCCCCTTTGCCCAGGGCACTCCTCTGGGCACCTTCCTTAGGAAAAAAGTCAAAAGTGGTAAGTCCATGTCCTAATACCTTTTGCTGAATTAGTTGAACACATAGCGCTGCTTAAGGGATACAGGTTGATGTGTGCAAAAGCACCAAGCTTTGGTGGGTTCAAATCTGTTCTGCCTCCATGCAACCTGGCATGTTACTTAACCCTGCAAAACCTCAGCTTCCCCATCTGTAAGGGGAGTACAACAATAACCACCTCAGAGGGTTAGTAGGGCTCAAGAGAAAATGGCAGTACAATGCCTAGCACCCTAGTAGATGTTCCAGAAACCCGTACCCCTTCCCCTCATTACTTTGTAGGCAAAGTTTTACAAAAGATCATAGCGAAGTTTAAAAATGAAATGACCCTCAGTATCAAATTTCAGTCCTCACCTTGCTGCCCCAAGCTCCTGGGAATAGGAGAGAAGGGGAGGCAGGAAGGCTCCCCATGTATTCTCTAGTCAACAAACACCTCCTCCATAGGTCTGTTACAAGCTTTCAACCCTGGAACTGGTTACCTTAAATTCAGGCCAAGCCAGCCCCTTATTGTCTGTATTTTGCCACCAGGTTTCTTACAAACCAACACTACATGGATGGTACTCAAAGTGGGGTCCCTGGACCACCAGCAGCAGCACCGCCTGAGAGCTTGTTGAAATGCCGAGTTTCAGTTCCCATCCCAGACCTACTGTATCTGAATCTGCATTGTTCCTGAGATCCCCAGGTGATCCGTATGCATAGGAGAGTTCAAAAAGCACTGACCCAGACCACAATTTAGTAAACTACTTTGTAAATCCAAGGAAACCATCAGGGTCCACAAGAACTTTCAAAATTATGTGGATGTGGGTGCAGCTGTGTGGTTTGCCTCCCTTCCTTCTTTCTATCTCCATCTAAAACACCCCTAAGCCTCTGATTTAGGGAGACTTCAGAAACCTAAGAGCAAACGTCTGTAGCTAAAATAACATCATAAAAACATAGAGAAAAGAAGGTACGACTAATACTTCTGTGCCTTTTAGACGCAGTTCTGAAGCCAATATGAAAAGTCATGGCTGTCACCCCAATAAACTTTAAAAAGAAAAGAAAAGTCATGGAAGGGCAAAGCCTAAAGAACAGGGGAAAAACTCAAAGGAAACAACACAAAGCTAGATCCAGGTGGTGGTAATATACACACAACCTGACGGCTTCCCCAACAAGATTTTAAGCCAGGGGGAATTTACAGTGAAACTATAGCAGGCCCCCAGATAACATGGTCCCATCCAAAGTCTCCAGAGGAACCCCAGCAATTTCATACTCATAATTTCATAGTAATTTTTCAAAGCAGGCTCCCCGAATTTTGTGAACTTCAGCCTCTACAACACCCGGATCCAAACCTATGTTCCTGTAGGATATGACATTGCATAGCCACTTGCCGCTAAGACGCACCATTTTTGTCTTGTTCCGCCGCCAGGGTCCACCGCGGTGAAGTTAATGTGCTCCTGCAGGAACCCAGCCCCAGCCGTCCTCCTTCCAGCAGTAGCGAATTGTCTCACATTTTCCCGGCTGCTGGGTCAGAAATGGCTACATTACTCAGTGCCCCCAAAACGTTTATTGTCCTGCAAGGCCTTACACAATCCCACAGGAAACCACGCTCAACACTTAGCCAACACTTGTTGATCTGATTGAGCGCAACAAAAACGGAGACAAAAGCATATTTCATAAAGTTTCCAACTTTGATAACTGTGGCTCCTGCTTTTCCCTGGCAGCTCTCGGATACATGTGATAACCTTGCCTTTGTTTATACTGCTTGACGCTGGAAAGGAAAAGAAAGGACAAGGAAATATCTCTGCAAAACCCCACTTCTGACGCTGACTTCTCTCACAGGAGTCAGGAAACCATGAGGTAATGCCAAAGTGCACAGAGAATAAGCAATGAAAACTTCAGCTCAACACTGGACAAAGGGAGGCTGGAGAACGTATGAGAGAGAAGAACAGTTAATATGACAGAAAAGGAACACATTTTCACAGCTTAGATTATTAAGAAATCCAGAAATGGAAGTGAGATTTGTTTTGTTCATGTACCATGCACCAAGATTGTAGTGAAAAAGTATGATCATCACTTGGCATCATCATGGCAACATCACAGCTTTGGCTGTACCCTTTCCATCATTTTCTCTGGTGTACACTGGCTGGTCGTATGTAATCAATTGAAAGACTTATTTTAGGCTCTGCTATGGATAGCTGAGGAAATTAATCATCCGTTTGGCATGCATTGGCACACTGTGTTACCTTATAAATCATTGGCTACTTCAACTTATGTGTAAACGCCTATGATGTGATAAAATCTTGGGTTGGCAGAGGAGCATGAAGCTACTAACTTTCAAAGAGGTATTCTTTTGTGTGGACACAGGATTCGCGTCATTTCTATTCATCCATTCAGTTAGAACCTTCCATGTGCTAAGCATTCTGTTAGGAGCTGGAGACACAGTAATAAACAGGACAGAGGCAGCCCACCTCTTCAGGGGGCTAATGGGCTTACTGTATTTCCCCATGTATGAGATGCACTTTAATTTTGGGGCCTGAAATTTGAAAAAAATGTATTACATAAAGTTATTGAACTCACGTTTTATTCATCATAAAATTCATACAACTTCTCATCACTTGCAGGAAATGCAAGTAAAAAAACTACAACCACTGTATAAGACCCCAAATTTTTCAAAAAGGGTGCGTCTTATACATGGGGAAATACGGTATGTCTAGTGGAGTAACGACCATAAGTAAAGGTTTAATTACAGTAGAGCGTGTGAAAAATAACTTAGAGATTTTTTTTTTTAGCTGAGCCGTCCTGCTACCTGTTGGCAGCTCAGCGGCTGCTCAGCTCTGGCTGGACTCGAACCGCTGTTGCTCAGAGCTCAAACTCTTGAGCGAGCTCTTAACCAACTGAGCCACTCGGCCAGCCCCACTTAAGAGATTTAAAAAAATTTTTTTAAATTGGGGAACAGTGTGTTTTTCCAGGAATCAGCTCCAAGTCAAGTAGTTGTTTCAATCTAGTTGTGAAGGGCGCAGCTCAGTGGCCCATGTGGGGATCAAACCGGCAACCTTGGTGTTATGAGCCTGTGCTCTAACCAACTGAGCTAACTGGTCACCCCCTAATATTTCTTTTTGAAACTGGACTTTGGGAAAGGGCAAAGAGTCCTTCAGAAGAATTCAAAAAAGGGGAGATTACACCCTGACAACAAATAAGTCATTGATGGATTCCAAATAGCTCTCCAGCCCCTAGGAATAAAGTCGGCAGTCATTTGAGAAAACGAGGGCGAAGCAGAGTCACAGTGGCACAGCAACCTGGCCAAATAAGTGGATTCTGCACTCGGCTAGTTAACATTCTTTCCTACACGGTAACTTGTATGTACTCCACTGTTTAAGCATGGTAGCATGGCAGAAGATCTATTCTAGAATGAAAAGTAAATGGAAGGGAGGGGAAGGAGGAAGTGGTATAATCCTGGAAACACCTGGGCACAATCTCTTGGGATTCCCATCCCTTCTTGGGCCTTAAAGCACTCAAGGGCGGCAGGGAGGAGTGGTTTCCTCTGAGTCAAAACGTCACAGTTTTATTTATTCATTCACTTCCTCGGCCACTTCTCCTGAACCTTTCTTTGGCTCTGTATTTTCCATGTCTTTAGTTGAAACTTGCGGCAACCAGCTATTTTCAATTGCAGAAATTATTTGCTCAAATTCTAGTCTGCATTGTCACCTCTACCTGGCAAAACGCTTAGGAATTTTTTCCAAAGCTTGTTCATGCAAGCCTTTAGCAAGCCACAAGCTTCTGTAGGGATGCAGCGTGGGATAATTAGACTTCATGTCGTAAATAAGCTTGCTCATTTGGGAGTAGTAGTGCTTATATTTTTAGAATAAGAAAGAATCTGATAGGATACATTGTGTGTGTGTGTGTGTGTGTATGTGTGTGTGACAGAGAGAGAGAGAGAGCGAGAGAGAGAGACCGTCTTACTTATCTCTATATTTTTCTCTCACTTTTAAAAATTAATTTGACCCATGGCTTTAAACACTGTAAGCTAACGATTCCAATTTTCAGCCAGGTCCTCTCCCCTGAATTCCAAACTTGTATTTGACAGGCAACGTGTCCATCTACACTTGGAACAGATAATAAACGTGTCAAACTTGACATGTCCAAAGCTGCCCTCCCGACTAACCCTCAAACGAATTTCTCCTACAACCTTCCCCTTCTCAGCTAACAGCAACTCTATCCTTCCAGTTGCTCAGGCCAAGAAGTGTGGAATCACCCTTGACTTTTACTCTTCCTTCGTACCCAACATCCAATCCCTCTCAAATTATGGTTAGCTCTATCTTCAAAATATATCCCAAATTGGCCACTTTTCACCACCTCTACTGCTACCTACTGATCTAAGTTGCCACCATCCCTCACCCGGAATATTGCGCTTGCCTCCTGACCGCTGTCCCTTCTCCCACTCTTGCTCCCTGCAGTTTGTTTTCCACTCACTAGCCAGAGTGATTTTTCTAAATGTAAGTCAAATCCTGCCACGCCTCCAGTCTGAATTCTCCAATGTCCCCCTTCTGGTCTCCTAGTACCATCTCTAGTATCTCATGATCCTTCTACCTCACATTGCCACTCCTAAAACTTGCTACTCCTACAATATTCTGAGTACCATCTGCCCCAGGGCCTTTGCATTGGCACTTTCCTCTGCTTGGCACACTGTCACAGATATCTGCCTGTTCATTTCATCTCCAGGCTCTTCTTCAAGTGGCATCTTCCTAATGAGCCTGGCCCGGACCACCCCGTTTAATACGACAACCTCACTCCACCCAGTGCTCCCAAATCTCCCTTACTCTGCTCTACTTGTTCTTTTGTCCCCTAATGCCTAGCACTTTAAAATCGACATGACTTACTTCTTTATTACCTTTAATGTCCATCGCCCCACAAAAGAACAAGCCCACAGGACTCCAATAGCTTCTCTCTGTAGCCTGAGCTTTTTCCATGGGAATCTCTTCATTGGGGGCATTGCTCCATCACCTCCTGCACTTATTTGTTCTGGTGCTAAAATAATCAACTTGGAGGTTGGGATCTGATGTAAGTTGTTTACACTCACTGGCATTGAAGGTTGATGTATCACCTCTCCTAAGGATGCTTGCCTGTTAAACCTCAGGTTCTATGGTGGAACAAATAGCGTCATTCCTTATGAAAGGAGTTGGGTGAGTGGAAGGTGGAGGTGGACACGAAAAGGTTTGTTGTTTCATTTTGTTATGACATTTCCTGACATCTGTGAAATCTTGACACAGAAGCATTTTGTCAATTTTACCCTTACTTTTTAGTGGAAGGTGAGGATTTGGGGTCTCGCTGGGCTTGGCAAGCTATCACTACCACCTGTTTTTGTAAATAAAATTGATTGGAACACAGCCTTGCCATTTGTTTACGTATTGTGTGTGGCTGCTTTCATTCTCCAACGTCAGAGTGGAGTAGTTGCGACAGAGACAGTATGCCCGCAAGTCTCAGATATTTACTATCTGGGCTTCACAGGAAAATTTTGCCAACTCATGCTCTAGAAGAATCCTGCCAGCTGTGGAAGCGACCTAGTAGCTTGGAATTTAGTTCAACAGCTCAATTCAACAGACATTCACTGAATTGTACTGTGTTCAAGGTGCCAGAGTTATGTACCCCTTTCAGCCATGATTCCCACTTACATTCAAGTTAGTTTTTCCCAAAATTTTATCATGAAAAACTTCAAAATGCAGAAAAGGTAAAAAAAATTGTATGGTGAGCACCCATACAGAACCGTCTAGATTCTGCAATGACATTTTACCTTTGCTTTGTCAGCTAGCTAGCTATGCACCTCTCTATCCATCCATCAGTCCATCTTATTGGTATTACTACTACTCTTATGATTATTGGGGGTTTTTTTTGGTGCAAAGTAAGTTGCAGACATCAGTACACTTTATCCATAAATACCACATTAAGTAGAGGTTAATTCAAATTAGACTTTTAACTTCAACACTGTGATCTTGAAAGCAGCCTTCATTTGGCCAGAAGACACAACCTTACAAAAGCTGAAAACTGAGAAAGGTTATCAGGGGAACTGAGGTAAGTATCAGGGGAATCATTCACCTAAATGTCTCTATTTCCCTGGTTCAGAGATGAATCGGCCTTTCAGGGCCGAGAGCCTTTTGCTTGTGATGAATTCTAGGAAAGTTCTGTGGCTCAAAAGAGAGGGTCAGAAGCTATTCTTTTCTGGCATGCTGCCAAAAGCCCACGGGAAAAGCAGGAACACAGTTATGAGTTTTGTGCAACAGCTGATCACGTGTAGCCTCTGGGCCAGAACCCTCGTCGATGGAACAGACTGGATCTGTGTAGACTGCTCTCACGAGGCTGGAAACAGGAGTCACGTGTACACTTCTGGATGTATTTGGATGTTCTCAGCCACCAGCTCATTAATGGCCCCCATAAACTAATGTTGACAAGATAATCAGTCCCTGACTTGGAGCCAATTGATTTCCTGGGCTCAGTGAGTCTGAATCCCTAATATGGAATATTCCAGAAATATTTGTCATTTAATGAACAACAGCTACAGTGTCCTGGGAGGCACATTACCAAAACCTGACAGGTTTGCAAGAAAGAAGTTTTGAGTTGACTGCTTGGAGAAAAAAAATTGCAAATAATGAAATGTATAAGATGTCCATGTGTTTCTATAAAATATGTCTTGGAGAAGAAAATCAATAAGTCATACAGAAGAGGAAAATGTAATTTTTGATTAAGGAGGAAAAAGAGCC